GTTCCTCTAAAATCATTGTTGTCACAGGGGACAAGATATACAATAATTATCCAGCTTTATTTACATAACATATTATTACTGAGTGGTTCTTCAAGGCTTTTCATCTGAGAGCACATCCACACATACAGGCACATGCACTTGCAGCAGCTCAAGTAGCAGTAGCACAAATTTGTGCCAGAGATTTGTGCCTCAGCACATGTGCCTGAATATGCACTTTGGTGTAGGGCAAATTGTACCACTTGGGGCAAACCGACCCTGCCCAGCTCCTCCTAGCTCTTCAGCCAGGGAGGCTAGAGGATGGGGCCAGCACAGGTGGTATTTGCCCTCAGGAACTTCTGAGGCCTGGACAGTTGGTATCTGGGGACACTAGCCCCTTGTGCCAGCTGGACTGCTGAATCAGCCCTTACCTAGAGTGGCCCCTGCACCCTCTACCCACTGCAGCAGTCTGTCAGTGGGGGCTGCTGCCCCGCTGTGACCTGCTGCCACTTGTGACAGCATGAGCCTCCTTGGACCCAAGGCCCCATGACTGCGTGCCTTCCAGACCCGGGCAGGGACTGCATGGCCACCTGGGCTGTGGCATGGGCACTGCAACAGAACCTCTGAGCTAGCTACCAATGGGCCGTGGCTGCACATTTAGCCTTTGGGTGTCACTGCTGTTATGTCTTCTGGTGCCCCCACTCTGCCATCTGGGCAGCTATTGTCCAGAAGATTTGCTCTTTACAGTGGCCTGCTTTGAATGGTTGAAGTGTGTCCTCCTGGCCCCAAATGTGCGGGCTCATGGGCATGGGGTTTGTGGGTGGATTGTGTGGGGGGACTGTGTGGTGTTGGAGGGGACTGTGTGGGAGAGGTGGGTCTCCTGCCTGCACCACCCACAGCACACAGCACTCCCCACCCCACCCCACAGCAACAACAGCCAGCAGTGGACCCTTGCATCGCCTGAAACCTGGGGGCTAAATGTGGCGCACGGAGCCGGCCTGGCCAGCAGGTGCACACCTGCACACGGAACCGGGCTGGCTCCTGCTGCCACTGGGGGTTCCTGGCACTGCAGCCAACACCCTGCACCGCCAGGCCAGGCTGGCTCCTGCTTCTGCATGCCCACCATGTTAAGGCAGAAGCTGGCCCTGCCCAATGATGCGTGGCTCCTGCCTGCAGGCCTACAAGCCCCCAGTGGCAGTAGGAGCCAAACCAGTTCTGTATGAAGGCATGTACCAGCGGGCTGGGCCAACTCTGTGAGCCACACTTAGCCCCTGGGTTTCAGGCAGTGTTGCTCGCTGCCAGGGGACTCTGTCTGCAGCAGGCCACGAGTGACATGAGGGCCCACTGCTGGCTGCTGCAGGTGGGGGGTTGGGCTGTGTGCCATGGGGAGGGCAGGTGGGGGAACCCACCCCCACCCACAGAGTCCCCTCACAGTCCCCTCCACTCCCACATCTCTGCTTACTGAAGACAGAGCCTGAGTCCAGGCCACTGGTGCCAGCCTTGTCCCACTTCTGTTTCCTCCAGCATGCTGAGGCAATGTGATGGAGTAGCAGGGGCATGCAGCAGGCATAGAGATGCTCTGGCCAGGTGCTACAGCATCTTCTTGGAGCACCCAGCCTCCAGTTGCTTTGGGCTATGCTCCAGGAGCATGCCTTGCACTGCTTTTTTTTTTTTTTTGGCTGTGTTTTCTTTTGATATTGGTATTTCCAGGTATCAAACTTAGAGCCTGCATTGCATGTCTGCAGAGCAGGAAATATTTTTTCATTTGTGGTGTGCCTCCTGTGGCATTTCAAACTTCTTTGAGATACTTCAACAGGCACATGCTCGCTCGTGAGGATGTAGCCTGAAGTTTCAAAGAGGTTTAATGTAATTAAGACTCACATCACCTGTTTGAAGTGGGTATTATGAATTATGATTCCCATTTTACTGAGGGGTCATCAGAGGCACTAAGCTATTCAATAAAACCAGAATTCAGAAAAAATGTACTTTGGGAAATAAAACCAGAATTCATAATTTCCAGCCCTCATTCTCTAGATCAGCCATTTATTTTAAGGTCTTCCACCCCTGCAAGTTAGGCCTTTCAAATAGGAGAAAGAGACACACCCCCGATGGCTGCTGTCTTTCAGCACCATTGTGTGCTCTGAAAACGTAAGCTTAGAGGGATCAAGCTTTACCTTTTGTAAACATGGAAACAATCCTGGCTCTTTGCCATTCCTCACACATGTCACTGCTGCAAGTAGAATTTCATAAATGAAAGCAACTGCAGTCATTTATTTCTGTAATAATAGCCATTTAGATGTAGCTACTTTATAAGCTTCAGCAGAGCAATACTAGAAGTACCAGAACAGCATGAAGTGTCAGGCAGATTTACTAGCAATTGTGTTGCTGCCTCCCTCTCACTTGAATCATTATGAAGGAGACATTTACTAGGCTCCCCATTCCCTGCTCAAGACTGGAATATTGGACACCTCTTTTCTTTACAGTGGCTAAAATGATCCAGCAATAGCTCATAGTAAAACTACACCATCATCTAAAGCACTGCTGAAATGAGTCCTCATCCAACGCGTTAGTAAAGGTGTTGTTGATTTTGGACCTTGGCTTATTTTATGCAAAACACAGCATGTACACAAGCCGCATGTATGCTCTAAAAACCACACAATGAGATGTATTTTCTCATGCTTGTGGTTTTGAGTGCCAAGTCTCACTATTTTTATGCAAGGTCTCTCCCTCTTCTCAACTGCAGTATTTACACAACGAAACAAAAGTATGGACCACCTAATTATTACCCCTTGGGAAGTGATAGAGTATTACAGCAGTCTTTTGCCACAATGCAAAAGTACAGGCAACTATAGACTGATGTGTATTTTTAATATTCTTTGGGGGAATCTTTTTGTGGGGCACTCTGCTGTTTCTAGATCATAAGCACGAATTAATTAATACATTGCTAGGTAGCTAATAACCCCTGCAGTGGTAATGATCATATTCTGTGGAACAGCAGTTCTGTTAAGAGATATGACTATTTGTTACAACCATGTCACAATAGCACTATTCAGTTGTGCACTGGTAATGCAAATGATTGGCAGATCTTTGGAACACTATGGTATTGCAGCTGGATAATTCCTGAATATTCCTGGTTAAAGTACAATGAGAACATCAAATTCTAATTATCTCCTTTTTCATGCTGTCCTTTTGCTAGGCAGAATGAGCCAAATTCCACCCTGCTGTAATTCCACTGAATGTATACACACAAATTTGCCCCACCAGTTACAAGAATGTCCAGTGTGATACAATCTTTATCATCACAGTAATACTTCTCATTTATATAGGTTTAGCCAAGGGTTGGACTCAAAAAGTGTCCCCACATGTAGGGGCATACACTTATTGTGGCAAAAAAAAGTAGAGGCACAAATCTGTGCCACTATTTGTTGCCACTGCACAAGCCCCTGCATGTGCACTTTAGTGTGGGGCAAAATGCTGCGCTTCAGGAAAACTGCTGTTTCCTCACTCCTCTTGGGTCCTGCCATGCTAGAAGAGCTGGGGCAGAACTAGAGGGGAGATGCTCTGGTCAGCCAGAGCATCTCCTGGAAGGACCAAGCCTCTGTGTCTGCTGGTGCACGTTCCTGGAGCGTGCACTGCACCGCATTTTTTCCATTTTTTTGTCTGGATGTGCCCAAAGTGTTTTTCTAAGCTGGGTAAGCACGTCTTACATAGACATGCTTAGTGATTTGCCCAAAAATATCACCAATGAAATTAGAAACACGAACCCAACAGTTTGGCCCTCAGTCCCCTACTTAAACAGTAACAGTGTTTTGTAAGGTTACTGATAATCAGAACTGTAGTACTGACAGAACAATGGCTTTGTAAGGCTACAGTGTCTGATCCCTTTCTCTCTCATTAGGGGACAACTCCAAGCCATATTTCTCTGGAAGAAATTTGTGCCCTTTAGACTTGGAGCATGCATTGCAGGAGGAATTCTGAAAAACAGCTGTGTGGGTTAGTGCAAGTGTCCGGGTTATGGGTGGGAGTAACATCCCTCCTGCCATTAAAACAGGAAGGGAAGCATTGTAGAACAGCATTCTTTGGGCCAGAACCTAAGGCTGCAAGTAGATTAATTCACATAACAACTATGCCATTAACACTGACAATGAGATCACAACTGGCTGCCCAGGTAAAAAGTTTAATGCTGCATATTACTATACCTCCATCTTCATTTTTCCAGTACAGGAACAGATTCATAGTTCCAACTTCAGTTATTTGATGATCTTCTCCATACAGCCACAAAACCTGCTGACACCCTAGTTCTATGGCTTCATGCTGGGCATAAATAGAAGAACCATAATTCCTTTCAAAAGGGGAGAAAAAAGAAAAAAAAGCCATCAGTGCCTAACTAGATATTATCTTTTGACAAAACTTTTTTTCCCTACTCCTAAAAACAGGTTATATTATTTTCAGTGCTCAGATTTAAAATCTGCCTTTTAATTAAAACACTCAGAAAAGTCACTGAGTGTCCCTGACATAATTACACTTAATTGGATGGTCTGCATGTTGTTTTACTTCTACAAGCATTGAACTTTGAAGGACTCAGCAGAGTCAAGGGATACCCAATTATCAGCATCTCATATGGATTCATAAGAGTTTCTGTACTGTCTGGGTAAAGCTTTAGAGAAAGACAGAGAACAACCAGGAAGTTCCACAAAACCCTGGGATGTGGATGTAACTTCTGACACTTCTTCAAAGGTTTACACAAGCAAGACAACTTATATATTACCCAGTAAACTGCCTAAACACTTCAGGTTTTATGCACTTAAAAATGGATCTAAGCAAGTTTACTTGTAGAAGCAGAAAACCTAGAGCAGTTCAGTAAGGAGTCATGGGGTATACTAGCTCTGCAGGCGCCATTCTGCCCTTTGGCTCTCTCTGTTGCTGCTGTCCACTGGGTAAAGTCTTGAAAAAATGTTAATACTAAAAGGGTTTTCCTCACTGCTCTTTTCTGGCTGAGTCATAAAGTTAAGATGGTCAAAAGCAGAAGCACAAATGATTATTCTGGGACTTGATTAGGATTGCATTTATGTTTATCTGCTTTTTGGATGTCTACTGGTGGAGAAGGAGATCCATTTCTGTCCTTTCCTATCCAATTTTGTGCAGTGCAACAGACAGAAATATAAAAATAGCATTTTTCTTGGGTTTATTTTAATTCCATGTAGCAGCTGGAATCCTAGAGAAACAATACTACTTTCCCATGCAGTTCATTATGATCCACAAACCTGAGTTTAAAAACTTCTGCCTTATTCCATCTGTGCCATTGTGCAATTCATCTTAAAGTGAAGGGAGGGAGAGATGGCAATCTACTAGTAACCAATATCTGTTCAGAGATAACAAGCGCTTGTAAGGAACTTGGTCATAACCATAAACAGTCAGTGCTCTTTACAAATGCTGTCTGCAGACTAAATCTAACTAAAGAGCATACATTCATTCACTACTTTTGTCAGTGGCCTCTGCTGAAAAAAATCTGGATACTCCCAACATCTCAGATACTAACAGGATTCCTAACCAGCAGCTGCACATAGGGTGTGTGTCAAAGACATGGGAAAGATGTGATAGAAGAGGGCTGTGGTAACAGGATGTATTCACCTCCGAGTCACTATTTCAAAACCAACTCAAGTCAGTGTGAATTCCTAATACTCTTTTCCAGGTCAACTCTCTTATGGAGTAGCACAACAAGCAATAATTTAATTTAAAAAATAATAACAAGACAACAAAAAGAAATATGAGTCACAAAAAGGAGGACTGGGTGGAAGAAACTTTTTGCAGCCATGGGATTATGTTGCTTTCTTGCTCACTACCAAAGCTGAAATCATACCAGAATATTGTATTTCATAACCAGGTAATCAGAGGAAAATTTCCTACTAGCTTTCTGCATCTAAAAGACTCTCATAGAAGAAAGTTCTCAATGTCTTCCAAAACAAAGATCAGGCATTTATTTTCTTTGATAAGCAAGTCTATTATCTAACCACATCAAAACTGCATACTTAACCAGGATCCCAGCTACTCTGCTGTGGTAACAGCCAAAATACATACTGTCTAAGATGCCTAGTACATTAACAGGTAGCACATTAATAGAAGACTCTTGCCTAACCTGGGACTTCTGCTTGGTACACCAGAGCACTGTCAGATCACAGAGGTCCACCTTCAGATCTGTCTAACACTTTCCCTGAATTCCCATATTCTCCAAGCCAATCACAGATGGCTTCTCAGAACACTTTGCCAAGGACGGAAAATAGCAGTCAAGCTCTCCCTTGGCCAGCTGGCAGCAGGTTGCTACACTGAATGACACTGAAAACATCACTTCAGTGATGCATCGGAGTCTGCAAAAGGAGCAGCCAAAATATTAAAGTGGACACTTGACTGTCCCAGTTCTTCGCTTTGCAAAGGGATCTTTCATGAAATACCCTGTAGGGTTGGTGTAGCAGAACAAAAAACAGGCAACTGAAGAATAACTCACAATTTGTAATCACTTCAGTTTTAGAAATCTCTTTGTCTCTACACTTAGCATGCATTATATCTACATATGCTACATTTAAGGGATAGTCAGCATCAGAGTCATGGTTAAATACCTTGCTAAAAGTAAACACAGTCAAACATTAAAGCTAATGCTTGCGTACAATCAGACTTTCTTACCCTCCCAGTTTGCAGTCCCCAGTTCCTCCTTTCCAGGCTCTTACATATTTTGGATCTGCCCACAAGGATATTGGATTAAAGCTTCCACTTGCAAAGTAAGGGCCCACAGGACTGAGTATGACATACAGTAGGGCTTTAGTTGGCTTCTTGACTCCAAGAGAAGGCTGAAAAGTAAAGCATGCATAGATCATTCTTGCTTTGTTGGCTTCTCTATTTTGAGGTTTAGACACTGACTTTCTGAATTACCACTTTAAGAGCAACTGCATTAGGATGGTGCCCACACACCTCTGCTGGAACTTGTGCAAGGGCCACAACAGAATAGCAAGATTTACACTAGTTCCAAAAATCCCACTTCTAAAAAAGAATGGGGCTACAATATACTAGCACAATTAGTCACCTGCATACTATTTTAATTCTCTCAAATTAAGGCTAGAAATAGACATTATTGAATGGAGGAATTCAGCTGTGCCATGATGTGTCGGGGCACAGATGATCTGCCTCACTGGGCAAAGTACACATTGCCTCTCATCCCACTCTTGATGGTGCAGGACAAGGGGCGATGTTATCTCCCCACTTTCCCCACTGGCCCAGACCTATGCCATTGGTCTAATGCAGTGGGGAAAACAGGGCTTTCCCCTGCCCAGTCAGCCCTACTAGCTGAGTAGGAAAAGTGGCACAAGGTAGCAGATGTCTGCTGCAATAAAGTGGCATAGTCTATTACTACCTTTTATTGTGCCACTGATTTTCCTGTTATGTGGCGAAACAAAAGGTAAGGACATCTATTTGCTCAGCATTTGTGCCACCTTAAGATTTTTTAAGGAGGCACAAATGAGAAGTCAAACAACATCTGTTTCTACCCATTGTTTCAAACTGCTGTGCTGGCTGCTACACTTCATGCAAAAGACACATGAATGGTTGTAATACAGATAGAAAGAATAAAGTGTTCTCTGACTTGATTAGAATATCTGTATCCCTTTCCCAACTCCTTCAGCCTCAGGAGTTGAAATCTCAAGCAATCATGGATCCTGCCCCTCACATAGAAGAACTCCAACCGCTAAGCAGATGCATGAAATTGTTGGGAGCAAAGCCTTTGATGCTTCAGGAAACTGGTTTGTTGAGGGGCAATGCCACCTCATTACTTAGGGATCCAAGCAGTGATGGAAGAAAGAAAAGCCCCGTTTATCTTCACTTATCCTGCCACGTAAGTAACATTTGTGCTGCCAAGTGACAGGTTCTGAATGCTAACGCTGAACGTTTGGAAGAAAAAGCTTGACAATCTTATTAATCTGGGTTTTCTGGCTCAGGTATATTCACAACAGCAGACTTGTTTGACTGGATCATTGCTGGTTTCTTCCTACTATAAAGTCCCCCTGAAAATGAAGCAAACCTGTCTCCCTGGAGAATATTCAAGTGTCAATTCTGTGTCAAGAGGAATCACTTTCAGCAAGTGGCCCACCCAAACATCTTGGCATGTGTAGTCACCACAGTACAGAATAAGTCAATCCAGCAAGTCCTCCTGAGCAATACCTTAAGGAATCTGACACGGCTGCTGTTACCAGGCATTTACAGACGTGTTCCAGGATGCAGGGGATGCTTTAATTAGCGCAGCTCCGAAACCTGCACCGATTAAAAGTGCCCAGAGTGTAACGTGTACCAGCATCCCCGCGCTGAAAAATAGCAGTGGGGCACTTTAACTAAAGCTAATTCAATGTGCTTTAGTTTAAAGCACCCTGCCACCATTTTTCAGCACAGGGACACGTGATGCTGGTGTCTGCTAATTAATTAGTCTGGTAATTACCACAGATTAATCAAGTGTGCTCCAACGCGCTATAATTACAGCACATCGGAGCAGCCTCTCTGCACATGTACAGGAGATCACGGTGTGCAACCTATATGAGAGGGAACCGGGAAGGTGCCCGGGGAAAGAATGTGAAGGATTCCAAGTAGCAAAAACCTGGCTGTGTGCTGGGATTTTAGATCCAATTAAAATGGGCGTCTATCTTCTCTCTTGTCAGCCAAACTGATCACCCAAATAAGGACAGCAGTACTCCCTTCTTTCTAAAAGGGGCAACCATTACATAAATTCATGTTATAAAAAACTTAGAGGTCAAATTGCAAGGGGTCAAGATGGTATCTGAACCAGCCCAACCTCAATCCCAGGGTTCTGCTGAGGCCATGGAACTATTGGAAGATTCAGATAAGCTTCCTTCAGCTCTACTGAAGCCATTTTTGATTTCCCAGCACTTCTCAGTCCTTCAACAAAATGGCTAACTGAAAAAAGTAAATTAAGTAATATCCACATGCTGCTCAGTGGCAACTGAAGTAGATTGTCAAAATACAGATATAAATGACAGAAAGTCCTATTATTTGTTATGTGAATCAGAGGCTGCAAATAGACATTGCCTTTGTACTGCCATAAAAATCTATATGGTGGCACAACGCTCAAGCAGATGTACATGCCCCTCACCTCACCACAGATGCTTGAGATTCTCCCACATGCTGTTGTCCTGTAGGATTGGGTCCCTTAAGTCCAGGGAGTGGTAGAGGCCCAACCCTGTAGGACAACAGGTGACATCTGTGTCACCCAATGAAGTGAATCATCTGTGCCTGGACATATCCCAACACAGTTGATCTACATCCAAGAATGACAGCCATTTATAGAAAGAGAGAATAAAAGAAATAAAGAAGAAAAGGCATTCTGGGAACAGGGTATTTCTCTGTTTGACATGGGTATAAACCCCATCAGAGAACTTCACTTGCCTAACAAAGCCCTCTCATGATAAACCTCTGTAAAAATTGCAAATCGTGATTTTTAATATTTACAATGTTACAGATTAGGACCTGCAAGTGCTTTATACACCTTAAAATTAAAATTAAGCCCCTACTTCTGTTTATAAAAGCTGGAGGTTATATGACCAACCTACAGTGATTTGCCCTGCGGCAAACAGCAAGTCAGGGACAGAGCTGGGAATATTGATTCTGGCACTGGTGCTTTAGTGAACCATAAAAGTTTTCCCTTTTATGAGAACTGACAAGCAAGGAAAATGTTCAGAAAAATCACTTCCTTATTCCCTATTCATTTTATAGACATTAGGGATCTACACCCACAAGCAATTTGTGTAGGTGCATACAAACATATGACTACAGGGGAACAACTGAGGTAGGTTTCACCCAGAAGTAAGATATAGGTTCAATCATAAGACAGAGATTGTAAATTGTCCTTCATGGTGGAATAACTTTAATTTACTCTTGAGGTTTGGAAGTCCGAATAGCATGGAACCATGAATCAGTCACTGAATATATGTAAACATGTCTCATATAGCTCATTCTCATGTATTATTTCATTTTTAAAGACAAATGCTACTGTATGCTTTTTATTACAAAACCTCAATTAAAACTTTAAGTTCTTTAAACACACACACACGCATACTGCAATTGTTCACAGTTAAGAGAAAATGTACATTAAATCTAAGGATCTGAACAAATATTTCCACTAGATGGTGCTGTGGGAAACATAAATGAACTCTTAAGTCAACTGCAAAAAAGAACCTTAACTGTGAAAAACAGGTGGGCAGAAATTGGAATAATGCAAAGATCGGAATAAAGAGTTAGGACTAAACACTGTAGTTAACAATTCTTCCTATCACTGAAATTATCTTGTATTTTACCAGTGGTACAGTTTTCACTTTCAGCTCTGAAGTGTGCAAACCAGTTTAGCTCTAGCTGTGCTATCAGGCAGTCTTTTCTTCCCAAGTCTGCTGTTCTCATAGCATGGCCAGACATTTTTAGCAAGCAAATAAGAACACACAAAATGAACTTGTTAGCTGATTCATGATTCTCTGTCAATTGGTGAAAAATAGATGTATTTATGTTCTAAGAACAGGAAAGGTCAAAACTGCCCATTAACAGTAGGAGAAGGGAATGAGGAAGGGAGGAAGGAAGGCAAATAGTGATTAGTGGGTACATCTACATGTGCAATTAATTTTAAGCAATAAACTCCAGAGCAGTCTGAGCCAAAGTAAACTACTCCTGGGCACCGTGTCTACATGTGCCCCCAGAACAGCAGCAATTTGAGCTGGGGTAGAGAAGTTTATGCCAGGGCTGAGGGCACTGGGGGTGGGGGGTCAGTCCCGGGCTCTGGGTGGTGGCGTCAGATGGCAGAAGCTGGCTGGGGCACAAGGTTGCTGAAAGTATAGTCTGGCCCCATGCTGCCGGGCTGACTGAGCACACTTTATGCCAGAAGCCAGCATATACGCATGCGTTTAACCATAGTTAATTACCATACGATAATACCATCTCTGACAGCTAAGTAGTCTACTCCATAGTTAAATGCAGGTGTAGACACAGCCACTGAGCATGCAAATGCAAGACAGTGCAAAAATATTATTTTTGGGCTGAGGTGTATCTTCACAAACATAAATGCAAAATGCAGCCATATAGCCATGACAGTTTCCAATATTTCAATATTTCCAAATTGCTGCCTTGTAAGATTTTGTTTAAAATATGTTATACCAAATACTTTGTAAAACCACTGATGTAAGTCTGAGAACAAGAGGTCCATCTTAAGCTCCACCTATACTGGCAAGCTGAAAGAACAGAACTGAAATCTGATTTCTCCTCCCAAAAACTGCATGCACATGTGGCATAGTAGGGCATGTGATTGTTGGTATCACAGATGTGAGCTGATTGTGCCATTAAATGAATGTCAGGGGCTAAGTGCCAGAATATTAGTGCCAAACCAGGGTAGGACAACACAACAACAAAGCAATGAACATGTACATACAACTGAAAAAAGAAAGATTTTCCCCACCTCTATTCCAATCAATGTAGGGCGGATGTACAGGCTGGCAGAGGCTGAGTAGGGGACCCACTCTGTTTCCACTTCCACAAGCTTCCGGATACAATCTAAGAGTTCATGCTTATCAAAACACTGAAAATAAAGAAAGAACCCAGCTTTATCAGAAACATACTCCTGGGAACTTTTAAATCAGGATGACAGGCTACAGAGGTCCACAGAATTATACCACTATCATTGGTGTGACAGAGCATGGATGCAAGGGCCCTGTGGCTGTAACCACCCCAGAAATGAACTATCCTGAGTATCTTCATGCGGTTAGGAAATGTATTGTCCAAACACAATCAAGGAAACAGTGGGATGAACAATTATGGTTCCAGCTTGCAATGGACACTAGAAAAAGCTCAATATGCACAGAGGTACACCTCAACTTTTCCGTTTGTTCCCTAAGTGTGGAGACCAGCTCTTCTTCAAGGTTTTCTAGAAAGTGATGAACAAGCAAGGAGACCGGATGTCCCACTTTACTGGAAAATGCCTCCAGAAAGCTGGATAACTGACATGGCAGGGAATGCACAGGCCAGCGTGCAAGTACTAGAAAGGTACCTTCTGTCCTGCTGGAAGTTCACTAGCATAGTGAGAATATGTGGTTGGCTGTCAGATGCGAAGTCATCCAACTAGGTAAAAAACTCTTAGCAGAACTAAGAATAAAACTTGGGCCTTGCAGACCTAGCCACTAGGGATGCCAGGCTAAATTTGACTTGGGGAATTGTATGGGCTTATATGGGAGAGGGCACAGTTTGGCCACCTACCTATATATAAATGCTCAGATGAATGTTTGTATTACATGCCTTCATCTCTAAAGAGGTTTAGTAAATCCCCAAATTTTGATTTTAGTAGCTCCCTGAAGTGATCACTTTCCCATGGCTGAACTTCTATAACGATAGAGATGAAGAGCTCTGGTGTTCAGCGAGAGTTACAGCTGCTGCAGAGCTTCAGCCTAAAAATAAAAATACTTTCCTAGCATAAGGAGGTTAAAACGTGCTTCAATTACGTACTGGCAGCGTGGCTCGCTTTGCTGACCGTGCCATCCGGTCCATGTTGAGCATGGGGCGGAACAGGCGGATTTTACCATCCACTCCTCTGTAAGCTTTCATTCCTTCAAACAGCTGCACCAAGCCAGAAAGGGAGGGGGTGGGAAAAAAAAAAAAGAGAATCAGATACAGACAATCACTATGCAAGGTAACTGCATGATGACCAGTGAAAAAAATACAGAACATGCCCATTGGAAATGAAAGCATTTAGCACTTCTCTAACTACATCTTCAAAGCACTGTATAAAGGCTAATTAGTCCTTACAATATCTTGGTGAGACTAAGGACTGTTTTCATTCCTGCGCTAGCCTTCAGTATGCTATAAGCATATCAGCATCAGGGGAGCTAGCAATTATAATGAAATCTAGCTACAACTTAATATTTGTAGCATGGGGTTGACTTAACTATCCCCTCATAACCTGACTAATGTCAGGACTGACCCCAAACAATAACTTCCCTTAGAAAAAATGCCTGCAGAATTTAAGGTAACATGATAACTTTGCCTCAGGGCTCAGCCCAGCGTGCATTTGTACAGGGGTAAGGGTAAAGGACAGGAGAAGAATTAAGGGAGGCAGTTGCAATGCCTTGATCCTAGAGCCAGATCAATTAGCTTTAACATATATTCTCTACTGATAATTTACAGGCTAAACTCAACTACTTCGAGCACACCAGAAAATCTGGCCCATGGTCTTCCAAAAGAATTTACCAGAAAACTACTAAAAACATCTGATAATTTGAGGATGATTCCAAAACAATACTAAGCTCTATAGTACAGCTTAGAGCTTGATAGTTTTGTGTTTTTAAGAGTAATTTTAATGTAATCCTAAATTATACAGCATTTTTCCATAAGGGTTAGAATAGGATAGGTCTATCTAAGGCTTTAAGACAGCCCAACTGCAATATAAACAGAGCCTTAGCAAATTTCTCTAGGCTGCCCATCAGTTAAATAGCAGAGCCAAAATGAGAACTTGGGACTTCTCACCTTCAATGCTGCTCTTATTACTATGGACTATGTTCTCCCCATTAAGAAGCATTTTTTTTAAACACACGAGACACACACACACACACGTCACAAATAGGACACTGTAGCTAGAGAACAAAAAGCACCTTTAATAAGTCATAGCATAGTTGATGACATGGAAACTTGCATTTTGTACTGGACCCGCTATAAGCTATTTTTTGTAATGCCAAATGGGTTTACTATAGAGAGTTTTTCCTCACAACATGCATTTACTAGAATCTGTATGAGAGGGAAGAGGAAGGAATGCTACTGCTAAGTTTTGTCCAATGGTCTGGTAGAAATAGAATCAAATCTCTATTGAAACACAATGCTTGCTCAAGCTGTTACATCATTACATCATTCCACACCCGCTCTTACCGCCCCAGGACAGATTTTTGTAACTTTTCAAAGCTCAGTAAACTTTTCACTTGTTAAAAAGGAAGCCAATGACAGTGTTTCAGGAATGCTCTATTCCAAGGAAAGCAACAGCTGCAGTTGCTTGCTGGTTTGCTGCTACAAATATGTACACAATATTATCTGGTATTTGTACATCACAAGAACTGGATCTGGAAGCTAGCAGATCCAGGCTATCAAAGTGTATCATGAAGGGCAAGGAGAAAAAGGGACGGAATGCCAAATTGATCATTTTTATTATACCCACTGTGTATTCATTGAGCCACAGCATTGACACCAGATTCTCCTCTGTCTGTCCTCTTGGCTAGAGGAAACGTGATGCAACAAGGGTAAAATAAAAAAAAAAAAAAAAAGAAAGAGCACATTCATATTAGCAATGATTCCAGACTGGGCCAGAAGTAATAGGCTACTATGAGTGAAATAATGTTGGGACTCCAGCGTGGTTGCCTGCTTCTTGGGCAGGTCAAGAGTTGTCACTAGTATACTTAGCCACAGGGATCTATAATCATTAGTACAGATCCCAGAAGGTTAGGTAAGTGAATGGAAAAAATAAAAGTAGAGTAGGCATTAGAGCCCAGTGACAGAAAGAAAAGGTCATATACCTGATTCTCCCTTTACTTACGCTTCTCTTATACTAGTGTAATTCTACTGACTTGGTAGAGTCTCTCACAGTTTACACTGAAGTGGGAGGAGAATCAGGATGCATGTTTTCACCCTGTGTTCCTAAGCCGTTCAAAGTACTTTACTGAGGCTCTGACATGAATGAGAGTATAGAGCACGCTGCTCCAATGATACAGAAAAGACCACTGTAGACATTCATCACTAGGTATTTTTTAAAACACCACCACGCTGGCTTCCAGCTGTGACATTTCACTTTCTTATAGGCAACTCCTTGCTTTTTCTCTCTGTTCCAACACATCATTTGCAATATTATGAAGCTACCAAAGAACTAGGTAGCTAGCAGAAGTCACAAACAAAGACATGCTAGGCAGATTCTACAGTCCAAACTAAGGATCTTAGAGGATCTATCTGTTTCATGTCTGTGCCCCACCCCCAAATTAATAAAATCATTCTTGGAGTGTAATACAGCACGTTTCAGTGTCACAGAGTATATGGTAAAATGAACTGGAAACCATGGGCCAAGAGAGTTCTCAATTACCCAAAAGCGAATATAAGGTAACTCCACTAAGGCCAATGGAGTTACTTGAAACTGAGACCAATGTTAGCATAGGAAAATTCAGCAATGTGTTAGCACAGCAAAATTCAGCCATGTGTTAGTTGTGTGCAACTAAGACAGCGGCAATACTTATATTACAAGATTAGGTTTTCAAAAACTTAGTAAAAGATAAATTCCCAACCCATTCAGTACTCACTTCCACAGCATAGTGGAGAGATGATGAGGCTGGATGTAATGAAAGATTCTCAAGAGGCTTAATATGAGGTTTCTCCCATCCTGAAGCCAAAGACCATTCAATTATCAACATGTTATCTGTGAACACAGTTCCAAACACCAAACCATTGGGGTCTGGTTTTTCCTTGAGAGTAGTTGCCGGGGTAATAATTAAGTCTTCAGCCTGGAAAAAAAGTGAAACAAGTGCATGATATAAAAACCAAATTGGATTAAAAATGCTTATGTACCAGTTACTGTGGATGTACAAATGTGCAATCCAGAAGTGACTAAGAGGTGGGTAAGATTATTTATATGAAATAGGCACAAACATGCATGATTACACACATGCACATACATACAGAACACTTTGCATTACAATTATTAACATTATTTAAGAAAAGGAAAATAATTATTGGAAAATATTCCATCTATGGATGGAAATCTTTTAGATAAATAGTCCAGTAATTTCCCTATACATTTGTATGTATGCAGAGGGTAAAAATTACTTCACACAAGGCAAGACTGTGATTTTCAAGAGGAAAATGAGTATTCTTCCCTGAATCACAATGTGGAGGAAGGGTAGGCAAGAAGAGCAGACTGTGGTGCTGGTACAGTAGGAAATGGATGGAGAGGAGTGTGAAGCAGAGGCTTGGTTTCATTTTCTGCTCTTGTCCTTTCCACAAGTTGTCTGCCCAGTCAAATTGAACCAACTCAGTGGGGAAAAGGAATTTGCTCTTAGGTAAAAAGGAGGAAGGGATTATGACTACAAGATATATTCATTTTAAAAATGAGGTTCAATGCAAAATTGTAGAACAAGAAACCCTCAGACTGGATTGTATTAAGTATAGTCTAAACACAGACTGCAGGTTCTCATCCCATTACCTGGACTAACTTTTTTGACCCCTTTGTCCCTATGGGTTTATTATGTGTTTGCCTCTCTATGCAGTACCCCACTTTCCTCTCCCCTTCCTTCTTTGCCTGTCTTTCATATTCAAATCCCCCTCTGTTTGATACACTGCCACTGCTCTGTCCATGTCCTTTTATGACATATGATGAAGTAAGCTCAGGCTCAAGAAAGTTCATGCTGTGCGACTCTCATTTAGTTCATCTGTAAAGTGCCAGTCTACCTTGCCTTGTGCCTGACTTCAGACTAACCTAGCTAACTGTTTCTTTCTACAAGATAAGTGGCATCCATGAGGTGGGAGAAAGACAAGCTGCTCCATAGTTTTGAACAGCTGTTCAATAAATTCAAATGTCCACTAAGGTTCAACACTTGCTGTCATGGCCTCTGCAAAGGACTTGGCTTCTCAGGTTAAGGATAATTTTTTTTGGAAGCAAGACAAATTCTGGCTCAAAATTTAAGAGCAAGACTTATATTAAAACGTCCTCTTCTAAGAGTACAATGGTTGCACAATCTGATTTTCAAGCGATCGTTAATGAACACTAGCCTATTTTCATTATTATTTTGCATAATGGCTTAGATGTGAAATCAGCTGAAAGCTGAAGCACATGAATAGCTAGAAGCCTGTTTTAAACCATCACCAATTACAGGGCCTGTCTAGATATTATGGTGCATTAGCTAGGCTGCATTAACAAATAAATTGACGAAACAGCAATTATTGCTCTTAACTCTTCATAGCAGTGATTCACACCCAGGGTACTGCAACTGTCTGGGGTGAGATCCTTTTAAGGGTGCCCTTGTGAGCCACACAATATTAGCACTGGTAGGTTTGCACACCTACAAGTTTCATGTGATAAACCAAAAGACTTCCAAAAGAAATCCAGAGTTTCAAAACCATTCTGAGGTGTTGGGTGGGGTCTTTCTGAAGTCTTTGCAACAGAAGAATTGCTCTATTAATTTCTGTAGTCAAAAAAACAAGTGAAATCAAAGAGCTGGCATTTTCAAAGGGGTGATTTAAGTCTAACAAAGGATATCTTGAATCTAAAAAAATTGAGAATCACTGATTTATACTAAGAATTAGCCTGCTGACAGTAAATTCTCTAAAGGGAACAGTTTGCTTCAAGATTTTCTGAAACCAACACAGGAGCTTTTCAATAATATCCTCTTTATTAACCAACTGCAAAAGAGAGGTTGAAAAGAGCAGACACAATCAAAAAAAAAAACCAACCAAAAACAGAATTTTGAAAGATGGTCACTTCAAAATCAGCCACCTACATGTATGCCTTAATTTAGGAAAACAGTTAGGCAAGAGCTCAACTTTAAGCATGTACTCAAAAGTCAAGCATGTAATCAAATATTCTTCTGAATAAGGAAGCTTTTACTTACCAAAGACTTCAATATCCAAAATCAAAGCAGGGTGATTTTTTCAAAGGTGTTAGGTAGTCACTCTTACCCTTGAATTCAAGACCACTTTTAATTTAGATATCTCCGATTCAGGCCATTTTATTTTATCAACTATGTCCAGTCTTTGTGCAAACTTGAAGGCAGCACAGCACGGTAAATATACCTGGCATGCCCCACCCATTTCCTGTCCAAACAGAAACAGCCTTGTGAAGCCCCAAATACTAACTGCTTCGGTCAAAAGGAGCAACAATAATTAAAACTGTGTCTACCATCACTTCCTGTGGCCTCCCACAGCTACCCCCTTGTCCTTACCTTCTAGGCTTTTTGGATGACACATGTATTTGGGAGGCCACTTTTGGAGACTCATAGCGAGCTAAATCTAACTAGTCTCAATTGCTTGTTCTAATCCCTCCTTCTCTTGCTTAGCTCTGGGCCCAAGCCCCTAGCTAAACCACATGTGCCTCACCGGTGCTAATTATGGCCTCCAGCCCCATCCCTACAGGCATGCCCATGCCTCATGGGTCTTGCTTTAACTCAGGGGCAGCCAAAATACAGCCCGTGGCCCAGATCCGGCCCACCAGGCAATTCCATCCGGCCTGTGAGTGCTCACCAATTGTACCCTGCCCAGCCCCCATGCCTTGCTCGCACTCTGGTGCGCAGCTTCTAGGCAGGGCTGCTGCTCCAGGCAGTAGGTAGGGAAGCAGTGGGGGTGGGAGGGAGCTGCAGCTAGGCTGGGGCAGGGAGCATGGGGCTGGGCTGGCAGGAATGGAGG